AGTTCTGGTATGTTGTACTTATGAACATCAATTTATGTGTTTACGGACGATATTGTGTTGCAATTGTATGTGTTAGTAAATAATGGAAAAGAATGGCATATGTACATGACTTTGGAACGAAAATCTGGAAGATTTTGTTCCTAGTGTTCAATACAAATTGTGAAATTTGTTGTGTCGATAAAATGCATGCAATAGAATGGTATATTGTACATATAAGTGGTTATAGTATTGTACATGAAAGAGAGGAAACTGGCAGAATGTAAAAAGGGTGTCCAAAATTGGATGGAATAAATAATTGAAAATGAAACTTATCAAAACAACATGTAAAAATTGGCAGTAGGGTTAAAGATCGGAATTTTAAATGGCATAAATGGCAGAAACTATGTTTTTCAAATATGTGACAATTCGTTGATGAATGCACTTTGAAAAATTGATAGGATGTATAGACTTTTAAAAGCAGTGTCAGAGGTGGTTGTAGTTGATTTTGCCAAAATTTAGGCAAATGAACTAGAGGAATATGGCAGAATTTGAATAGGTTTAAAACGTTGATAGCAGATATGACTTAAAATGAAAGTTGTACAATGAAACATGGAAGAAATGGTAGTATGGAGAAAAAGTTGGAAGTCAGATATTTAGAATGGAATAAATGTCACGTAGTTTGTTTTTGGAAGAAATGACAAAAGTAGTGGGTTAAAATGAAAGTTGTACAATGAAAACATGGAAGAAATATGGAGAAAAACTTGGAAGTCAAATATTTAGAATGGAATAAATGTTAGGTAGTAGCTTATTGGAAGAAATGACAATTTAGTGCTAAGCTATTGAAATATAAGTGGCAGAAAGTGAATGTGAATTTTATCAAATTTGAAAGCTTCACAACAATGACAATGAATATCTGGCATGTATCTTGGACATTTGCACATGATATTTGTATTAATAATTACACTACTGTAAAAGAAATGTGTGAAATGAATGGTTTTGTGTTTATTTAGGTGATACAGAGAAAATTTGGAAAGAAACAACTGCAAAATGTAGAAAACATGAGGATTAATTGCTATTGCAGTTTGAGTGAGCTAGTGAAGAGGATAAAACAAAAACTTAAAGCTGAAGAATTGGTTGAATTCAGGAGGAGGGTATTTGGATGGGTATTGGATGTGGAAGAGATGCGCACAATTAGTGGGCAACTTCAACTTGGATTTTTGTGCAACTACGTAAAAAAGGTGAATGGGAGGAAAGAGGTAAATGCCATTCATTTTCATATTGAAAACAGCCTAGTTACTTTCAGAAAAAATGATATGTGCATGGCTCTGGGTCTTAAATTTGGAGGAGTTAAATCACATGTAGAAGAGAATTTTAGGGGAGCATTGTGGAGAAAGTATTTTGGAAACACATCCGGGGTGAGAAGAAGTGATTGTCAAAATGCTTTAATGAATTACAATAGTGGAGACCCTGACAATGACCAAAATGATGGCGTGAAGCTTGCATTGGTCCATGTGCTGTCACATGGTTTGTTTGGGAACCACACGGCAAGAGAATTACCAGCAATGTATGTGAATTTGGTTGAAAACTTGGATGATTTCAATGAATATCCATGGGGGGGTGATGTCTGGGCTGAGTTGGTGGATAACGTGAGGACCAATGCCAAGAGTTTAAAGAAATGTAAAGGGACACGCGTCACACTGACATGATGTTTAATTGTCATACAAGTTTGGGCATTTGAAACCTTCACAGGACTGGCCAAGGCAGATATATGCAGTGTGATTGAAGGGCGAGAGACTCGAATACCAAGGGCTGTGAAGTGGGAATTTGTAAAAAATCCATCACTGGAAGTTTTGAGCAAAATCATTTTCAAGAATGAACAGGTAATAAATAGCATTTAGTTGTTAATTACTATGTAGGAATCTGAAAAGATGGTCTTTGCATTTTAAATATAAATTGTTATTTTTTTTATTTTGCAGTTTGAGTGGAAAAGGATGGAGCTTACAAATGTGGAAGGTGAACATTTTCCAATTTTACTCTCCAAGCAAATGAGAAGTTCTGCGAGGAGGAGTAATCCTGGAATTGCTGGGGGATATAGGGTTGATGGGGTGAAGGTATTTAAGAAAATAGAGAAGAGGGTAAAGACCAAAAGTGCAGCCACAGTTTTGGAAAAGGCCAAAAAGAAAAAGTTGGAAGAAAAAATGGAAACTGAGGATGAAGAGGAGGAGGACGAAGAGGAGGATGATAGTGGTGGTAAGGTGGGTTTTGGAACTGCCAGAAGACTGATTTGACACTGAGAAATGTTAGGAAACTTAGCAAGGAGAATGCCAAGATTATGGCAGAATTAAAAGAAGTGAGGAAAACCCAGAAGAGGCAGGAGTTGTTGCTCAAGCAGTTGTTGGAGGCCATGAACAGGAAGGATGAGGCAGAGAGTGAAGGGGTTAGCGAGGAAAGCAAAGAAAAAAACAACACAGAAGAAGGTGATGAAGAAGCTCAAGGAGGTCAAGAGAATGAAGGAGAGCAAAACGCAGGTGATGGAGATGATGGTGCAGTGATCAGTAGCATGCCAAATTATAACATATTTGGTCCACAAACACAAGAAAAATTCCAGGAAGCACAAGTAGAAGATGGAAGTGAAGAAAATGTGTTAGAGAGGACTAAAGAAGTAGAAAAGGGCAAATGTGGGGACAAGGAAAAAGCTGGGGGAACCAACAAAAAAATCAGGAAGAAGACATGAGGGGGGTGGAAGAAAGTGTTGGTAGAGGGGTGAACAATGAGGAGGAAAATTGGGAAGATTTGAACACCCTATTTGTGAATGAGTTAATCACAAGCGTGGATGAAGTGGAGAAACTTGTATTAGGCGAAAAAACTTCAGAGGATCATAGTCGAAAGGGAGAGGTTCATAAAAACTCGCTTTGACTTGTATTTTAATATATATATATATATATATATATCTGTTAATATTAATTTATAATTGCAGAAAGTTGCAAGTGTGCGTGTCCAGGAGATAGCGCAAGGAACTGGAAGTACAAGTGTTAATGCAGACGTGAACATAGAAAAGAGTGTAAGTGGTGTTGTATATAATTATGAATATAAATGCATAAAAGTGGAATATTAGTTCAACTATATTGTTTTTTTTGTTGATGTGCAGGTTGAGATCACATGTGGCGCCGATACAAGACCTCAACGAAATGCAAGATCACCAGACAGATATGCACCAGCAGAGAATGTGGTGGCTGCAAAGAGGAGACGGAAAGAAAGAGCGAGAAAAAGTGAGGAGGACCACTTTTTAACGGCTAGAAAGTATGGACCATTTGCAGAAAACCCAACTGAATCTCCACCGGAAGAAGAAGTACGGAAGTTAGAAACTTATCTTCAAGTTGGACTATTGAAGAGGGAAACAAAGGAAGCAGGTGGCAGAAGATACCGCAAAGATGAGGACAGCATGAGAGGCGTACCATTTATTCTGGATATGGCAAAGATAGAATCAAAAACATGGTTGTACAAGTTGTTTGTCAATCCAGAGTGGCTGGACGAGATGGTAATGTTTCTGACTGATCACTTTTAGAAATATAAAAGCTTAAGTAAAATGTGGATCATAAATCATGACAATGTATGTTTTTATATAAAAAAATTCAGAAATATTCTGTGATTAATTCTTTGATTTTGCATTTGTTCTTAGCACATTTATGCAGGGATGTACTACTTGAATGTCAAGCAAGTACAGTATAGGGTGCAGCACCCCTACAGTGCTAGTGGGCCTTACTTTCTGCAAATGCTGAGACGTCAAAATGAGAAGATAGAAAAAGGTGAGACGACGATTACAGAAGCAACGAACATTGCAGTGATTGAAGATGAAATTCAAGGCAGTGCTTCACCATTCTCTAGGAGTTGGGCAGAATCTGAATTCGTATACCTCCCTCTTAACAATAGCAACCACTGGATGTTACTTGTTTTGGAAGTTAAAAAAAGAAAGATACGAGTTTACAACTCCAAAACCAGACGGGCTGATAGTTTAAGAGACATTAGACCGTTTGTAGAGAGCATACAGTGGTTGCTGCCAAAAATCATGGACGTGCATGGTCTTTATGATGAAATTGGGTATGAGCGTATGGGTAACGAAGTGTTAGAGTTGGAGCCTGCCGAGGATTGCCCACAGCAAGAAGACGGGTAAAATATGTTGTGCATAGTATTTTTCAGAAACATAATATTAATATGTAATACAAAATGATTTATTTCGTATTGGTGCGTCATGATTGTAGGGGAAACTATGGCATGTACGTATTGAAGATTGCCGGATTTTTGATGATGGGGCTAGATATAAAAGAGATCAAGTCAAAGGACATGCCCATGTATAGGCAAAAGATGGCCACAGAGTTAGTGTTGTATAACAACAGGAGGATGGAGGAAGGCAAACAACAGAAGCAGGGACTGAGGAGTTGCATTTGAAACTTGAATGAAATGTTGTTTTTTGAATATTTACGTTCAATGTTTGATGTTTGACTTACAATGTTGACTGAGCGTTTTGCATAATGGTGTAGTATGTCCTTGACACTTTGAGTAATGTTTTGGATTTAAATTTAATGTGTAGTTGTTTGCAATTAAATCAAAGTGGAAAAGTTTCTATAATAGACGTATGCAAACGTAGTCTTTCTGCCATTAAATGTAATTTAAAATGCTTTTTTATGGCAATTTTGCACTGTTTACGCTTATATTTTTAAATGGCAGAATGTTAGACTACAATATGGAATGGCTCATTGATATGTTGAGATCAACATTGTACAATGTATAATTTATTATTGGCAGTAAAGAAATTGTGAACATTACATTTGTTACACACATCAATTGTGTTTATTTGACGTGTAATGCCAAAACAATGGCATATATGGATGAAGCATGATAACTGTCAACATTTGTAGAAATTTAATTAAAAAAAGGCACAATTTGTGGGTTGTATAGTACTAATAAAGATGGCAAAATGACATGAACATTGGTGGAATTAAAAATATGATATCCATCAACAATAGTGCAAAACACGTAATCGTTTAAAGGAAATTAAAACATCATGTAATCCAAATACATGAATTGAGGAAACTACTGGCTCTAAATTGTGCATAAATTTATGTAATCAACATGGACATTTCAAAACAATGACACCATAATTAAAAATTCTTAAAGAAGAAAACTTAAAAAATACATCAGGATTGCGGCAGGTTTTTTTTGTTGTGACCAATAGCATGACAGCGGGAACATTTTTTACGCTTCGTACGACGATGTTCACCAATTGATGGGATTCTTGACTTTTTGGGACGACCGGGTGGTCTTTTTTGACACGAAGGCGGCTTGCAACGAACATTCAAAACATCAGGAGGAACTGACCAAGACTCCACATCACAAATAGGGTGCATAACGCCACTCCAGGTGGACAACCAGTAATCTCGAGTGTAATATTTGGATATATAATCATAGCATGACATGGCTGGCCTGGTACCAATAGCAGTAACAGCATGCACACAAACGAAATGAGACAATTGAAAGACCCCGCAACTGCATGTCTTAGAATTCAGATCAACTACAAATGACCGACAATGTCTATCAACCACCTCAAATTCTGTATAAGATGCTGGCTTCACCTGATGTTGTTTTTAAATATGATAAAAAATAATAAAGTTAAATGATGGATATTCACAGAAATGATTTGGGGGATAAGGTCTGGGAAACATGGAAGAGGGATTTCGGTCGTAACCAAATGCCATATTTTTGGAATTGCTGCCAAGTATACAATACAATAACTCTGAACAAAAAATTAAAATCAAATGCATATTTCTTGCGAATAAATGTATACGAATTTAGCACACATTGAGTTACCTGCATTCTGCAAGCTTGTCCTTGAAGGGCCACCAAATGCTTCTCACATGTGGGAGCAAAAAATGTACGTGTTTTCTCAGCATTTTCCTTCCTTTCTGAAAACCATTGCTGCATTCTTTCCCTCAAGAAATCAACAAGTTTTGATATAGAATACTCCCTTGCAGAGACATTGACGTTGTTCATAGATTCAGCACAGTTGGAAGTCATGATATCGTATCTCCTAGGACCAGACATGCACTTGGTCCACTTTTCAAAACCAATCTTCTCAAGCCAAGGTCATATACGAATATCCTCAGAATCCAACAAGGACATATATTCCTCAAATTCCTTGAGTGTCGATGCCATGTAGGCAGCCTTGAATTTCCAACCCAAATTCTTACCCGCGCCCCTAAACTTTGGAACCATGTTACGCCGAAGGTGCTCCACACAATATCCATGAAGAGCATGAGGGAAAATATCCTTAACAGCACTTAGAATACCTTCATGTCTGTCAGATACAATAAACATATCAGGTCGGAAGGTTATACTGTCACGCACTTGGCTCAAAAACCAATTCCACGAAGCTTTGGATTCGGAATCACATATTCCAAAAGCTAAAGGTACAATATGACCGTTAGCGTCTTGGCCACAAGCTGTTAGTAGTGTCCCCTTATAGTATGCCTTCATAAATGAGCCATCAACAATTAAAACAGGTCTGCAAAAATCCCATGCCTGCCGCCAAGGTGAAAGACACATAAAAAAGTAACGAAACTCATCCTCATCACCTATTATTAAAGAAATTGCAGAATTCGGGTTCTCTTTTCTAGCATATAAGCCATGGAAGGTAGTTTCTGATAAGACTCAAAATCAGATCCAAATTGCCTTTGCATGGCTAGCTTTTGAGCTTTCCATGCTTTCTTATATGACATGGAAATGCCATGGGCCACACTCATGTCTTCCCGGATTTGATTTGGTGCATACGGTTTCCTTGATGCATCCAAAAATTTATGGGAGATTAGCTGAGCAACAGTGCGATATGTTGCTTGTCTCTGTTTTCCTTGTCTAAAGTCAATGGAGCAGTATGTGTGGAGTCGAACCTGCAATGAAAAAATATATGTCATGATGGAAGAAATGCCACATATGTGAAATATTAATACAAAAGAATAAAGGTAAAAAACGATAACATGGGAACACCTTCTAATCTGAAACATTTGAACACCACGTAACTTCACACCCCTCACAGCCCATTTACAGTTGTCATCACAACATACAACATGCAATACCCCTTTCTTTGATGTAAGTGTTCGGTATTGAAAGCTATTATCAATCACATACAACTTCAAATGGTGACTGAGGTCAAACTTAGAATTGTATATGGCATACTTCATGATCTTTGTTGGATGATAATGGGTGATAACTTCAACATTATGATGGACGGAAAATGACTTAGTAGAATGTAAATGAGTAGGAGGTGACTGACAAGGGCTGACAGAAGACAATGGACTATGACATACATCATCATTAATTGTAATGGGACTAGGATATTTTTGTGTGAGATTGGATTCATGTCGAACAAGAGTGTAAGAGTTGGAATCATATTTTTGTCCACTAATGTTATCATGTTCCTCAGAAGAAACATGAGATGGTGAAGCACAAATATGTACAGTATTTTTCGTAACAGGCACCGTGCAAGGAGTATAACCATGAATTGAGAATTCCACACACAATGGGTACTTGCTGAAATCAGTCTGAAGAACCTTAAGGTTGAGGAAAAAACGGAAACTGGCTTCATCATTGATATACACAGGTGGAAGGTAACCATCAACCATGTAAGATAACTTCAAATCACTTGTTGCATTGTAAGAATCACTTAATATGGAAGAAAGTTGCTCTATAAAGTCTTTGTATGTAGATGAGTAAAGAACTTGAATAGCAAAGGTGAGGTTACTGTTGAAGTTATAGTCATTGGTCCAACTTCCACCCAACTTCAGCATAATCATAACAATGGAATCCATATGGATAACTAGATAAATAAATATAAATTGGTCAAATAAAATGAAAAACAATATGACAACTATGAGTACACATTATGCCAAGATTATGTCATTAAATTCAAACTGAAAACACCAAACACAGAATCCCAACCGAAACTCAAATGAAGACCATGAGTACACATTATGCCAAAATTATGTCATTAAATTCGAAATGAAAACACCAAACACAAAATCCCAGCCGCAAGTCAAATGATGACTATGAGTACACATTATGCCAAGATTATGTCATTAAATTCCAACTGAAAACACCAAACACGGAATCCCAGGCGCAAGTCAAACGATGACCATGAGTACAACCATGAAGGATAAGCGTATATATGTATACTGAATGACATATTTTCCAGATTTCAACACAGACATGGAACATGATTTTAGGTTTCGGAATGTATAATAATGACAAATAACAACAAATAAATTAAAATATCCTTCAATTGTCGCTACCTTCTTCTTCAACATCCGATAATACAGAAGATGAATAATGAAGAAACTGATAATATTAGCAGTTGATAATTACCAGAACAATTGCAACACTTCACCTCAACATATGCGTTTGGTCGTAGCTTATGATAGACAGAGCAAAGATGAGATATGGCATAAGCGATTCGTTGATACAGAAACACACGGTGAAAACGGAAGGAGATAATACAGGGGAGCGTAAAACAAGGGGAAAGCATCGTAACTGAAAGTCTGAAAATCAGGAAGCGAACAAAATGGGGAAAAAACGGTTACGCGAATCCGGTATTTTCAACGAAGGGCAAATCTGTACGGGTAAACTACGTTAGTTTTAGTATAGGATTAATAGAGTCCTACATAGGGAAATAAACATACTTAGTCTTAATTAAGAATTTTAAAAGATTTTTAGTCCTATATGGGACAATTTCTTTAAAACTTCGAGCAAAATCTACCCCCGATCTCGATTTTAGCTTGAAGTTGATTGCTTTGTCTAAGCTCAATTTGAGTAGCTTTTTTAGTTAGGATCACTTAATTGAGCAAGCAACTCTTGATCTGAATCAAGACTCATCATCTGAAACATCACCAATACAATATCTAACTGACAACTACCCTTGATTGTTTTTGCTCACTTTGCTCAGGGAACGAGACTTGAACGAGTGTTACTTGCATGACTACTTCTTTTACTTTCATCCTCCCTTGGTACTCTAGTCATACCCTCCGACTAGTCCTCCTTCAAAATGATAATATCTCTATTATCGTATTCAGTCTCAGGACGAGAGATAAAACCAATAAGAGTAAAAAGATGACCATTAAAACATAAGTCCTCTTCAAAGATTTGTGAGAAGATAAACTCCACAGTCGGAGAAATAATATTTAAAAATATCATTAGCTACGATGGGCAAAAACACGGGCATGCAGGCCAAATACAAATGTAATTTTACAAAATATTTATCCATGCGCATTTCTAAGTGAAGTTAAAAAACAGTATGGAGAAGTATGAATCAAGTCTTCACTCGAGCACACTCTCTGAAAGAGTGCAAACAGAAAACACAAGCTCCAACCTGAAAATATTGGTGAGAGCCTCCTAAGGGGTCAGTACAACTGGTACCGATGAGGGAAGGGGACACTATAAGACGAATGTGATTACGGTGGGTAACTCAACTTAATAACATATACCGTTATACATGGAGGGGTACCATTAAGGTTAGAGAGATCCTCAATTGTTGAGTTAGAATAAACTACTCTACAATCTCCAAACACATTCTACGATGTCTCTTTCTTCAGATCTTTTAAAAGATCTTAATAAAGTACATCTATAGAGGCAGAACTCAAGTCTTTTCCTACCTTCCGGTATAATAAACGTCCCTATTTTCAATCACCACCAAATGAATAAATTCCCATGCATATTTTTCTCGAAAAAAAGAGTTAATTTTTGAGAGGTTTGTAACTAGCAATTTTCTATTGTTTTTAGTTTTTTACTATTTCACACAATCTTCTATGCCCAGACTAGCTAGACTCTTTATAGTTGTGCAACGTAGTCACGTAGTGGCCCATTCATTTTTTCCTTGTGATGGAGTATATTCCCGTATACCCCAGGGGTATCACAATCGCCAGTATAAAATATCACGGACCCATTCTGGAGTATGCGAAAATACTAAGTCCACACCTGAGACTGACCCGACCGCCGAGGTCAGGAAAACAGCAAGCTCAGGGGTCATCCGAACTCGGCGAATAACGAAGTCGTCCGACCCCGACCCCGACCCCGAGGTCGGGAAAACATAAGGCTCAGGGATCAACCGAACTCGGCAACTTATGAGCCCAACCTCGATGCATCCAAGGTCGGTACCAGGTCTGGCCTCAGAAGTCAAACATCTGGTTAACGGTAATCGAGCATCGGGCAGTCAACTACCTCAAAAGGCGGAAACATGAGACAAAGGGGCGAGTCCTCTCATCACGGGCCTGAGCTCCCAAATATCGACCTCAATAATCCCCAAGGTCTGAATAAGGCATCGTGGACTTAGACGAAATCCGCAAGGATCTACTTCACAAGGAGATGTCGCCACGTCATCAGGGAATATTCTCAGTTACCCACGCTTAACCACACGGGATTTCTGGCAGCAATTCTGTTAGGAGCAAACTCCAATCAGTCAGCTGTTGAAGACTCTCTCTCCAATCAAGTTTACACGTGGCTGCTCCCCATCGAATTAGACTGTTAGTTTGTTAGAGTACTTTATACGTGCCCCTCTCCAATTAGACTAACATCTTTTACTTGGGCACCAAGTATTGCCTTTTAAGTATAAATATCACCTCCCAAGCTGTGGAAGGGATCGCATTCTGAATTCTATACTGTTATACTGCCGAAATTACGATCTGCACTTTCCGATTAGTTCACTCTCTCCCTTTTCTCTTATTCTCGGTGGATTCCGGCCACCCCTGATCCGACGATCCATCATTTTTGGTGCTTTCATTGAGAGCTGAACTGTGAACAAGTCAGATCCTCCCGATTTTCTCCAGACCTATAATGAACTTTTCTACAACAATGGTTGCCACTGTCGCACAGGCGGAGCCCTCGCTGAGAAGTCGATGTGCTGCTGCCGCCGTCGCACAGGCGGAGCCCTCGCTGGAAGCTACTGCTACTTCTGGCGATAGGAGGGCCTCCAGGGGAAAACAAGTCGCTAGAACTTCTGTAAATCTACGCAGTTAGATTCAGCATGCTTCCCCAGATCTGCATCAGCAGATCTCGCTCAACCGTGATGCAGCGGCAATGCCGTCCACACAGGTGATCCCGCAATTCCAGAATCTTCGGATGATGAATCCCTCTGCGGCGGTTGGCGTCCTCATCACCGGATTGCAGCAGGTACTCCCCACACTGTAATCTCAGCCTGCAGCTACTGTGGCTCCCCATGCCACCAGGCCTGTCTCATCGACGAACTCTAGATCCCGATCTCTAAGAGTAGGCTCTATTGACGCCCCTCTGGTGGTGGAGAGACCAGCACAGATGGTCTACCAATCTCCCCCTCGCCAGAGGGCGACTCCGGGGATCAACTCTCCCCCTATCCGTCAGGTGGCTTCCGCAGCACCTATGAACGTTGTGCCTCTCGCACAACAGACGGGAACTTCTCGTCCCGCTGCGGCGACACGGAGAATGGCGCCACCGCCACCTCCCACGCTCCTGTCCAGGTAAACTGCACGCCGTGTTGATTATGGTTGTCCCAATGATGAGGGTCTCTATGTTGTCACTACTGAGGACTCCTCGCAGTCCCCCTCCCTACAACAGGATGACAATCCCAATCCTTGGATTGAAGTGGGAAGGCGTCCCATCTTCTCCAGATTAGGGGACAGATCCATCGTGAATCAGTGCCTGTCTGTCAACATACGGGGGATTAACAGGGCGAATTCCCCAGTTCTTGACTGTAACACCCCCAAATTTCCCACCCAAAAATAATACTTTATTCAAAATAAATATCAACTTTATTTGAAAACATCAGAGTTTTGCAGCGGAAATCAAAAGGGAAATAGGGGTGCTACCGCCACACTCGATTCTCTCTTAATCGAGTGCACAGGCTAAAATAACTTAAACTTCAAAATCAAAAGTTCACTGATTAAAGTTATTGAAAAAGAAATTTACAATGATTTACTAATAATGTTTTCTAGCGAAAGCTCTCTCTCGAAATCAACTTCAACATCGATCAACTCAACACCTGTACAAAAATCATGTACAAAAAGAAAAAATAAAAGAAACACACATTAGCAATAATGCTAAGTAAGTCTCACCTAACTTTTTAAAATAATAATAATAGTATATATATAAATTCGTACAATCATTAGTATAAAAATTTTTTCAAAACACTTTATAAACATAAGTAAACGATATCTGTACAAAATCCTAATCACATAACTCGTGAACCATAATAATTCCAAAATACATGAAACACCAAAATTCTCCTCCTTTGAATTTCTCCAAAAATCACTTTGTAACTAACTTCCTAGTAATTTAGAAGGGCGGTACTCAACACTCTGGTTGAGCCCGGTGATCCGTTGTTATGTACGGCCACCCCGGAACTATCGCCGGTACCACAACTGCTCCTTGGAAACGGAAACAACTACTTTAAGTGTGCACACCCCCTAAAGGTATTCCAAGCCCTCCGGGTTAGTAAGTCGATCCGGGTAGCCGGGATGTTTTCTACCAACTACCCCACCTCAAAACCTGAATGATTAGGAGCTACTACTACCACTACTACTCAAAAGCCGGGATGTTTTCTACCGACCGACAATTCACATCAAACCAACATAAACCAAAAATTGAGTAGTAGTAGACCTAACCATCCTCACATTTTAAGGGACGTGGAAAACCAACACCACGGATTTCTCTCGTGATGCTCACCCTTTATGAAAATATTTATTTCTCTTTGTTTTCTCAAAATCAATCGAAGTTTACACTTCAAAAATTTCCTTTTTCATTAAACTCCCACAAAGATAACAAATTACGTACTATTACAAAATCTTCCAAAATAACTCATATCAACAAACTAATATCTCAAATACAATCCTTTTATATAATGATATTCAAATTCAGCACACATAAATTCAATTCTCAAATAAGCACACAAAAATATTTAAAAGAAATCACGAAGAAAAAGAACTAATTTCGGTTGACGTGAAACTTACCTTAAATCCCGATGCTCCTAATTCTCTTCTTCAGTTCCGGTCTCTAAATATTCACACCTTTTTAATTAAGATGATATAATTAGTCACTTATTCTCTTTGTAATTATTTTACCCGATTTTCTCCTTTTATTTTATTATTCGAATTTATTAACTTAATTTATTAGTTATTCGAATTTATTTGATTAATCACTTTTTATTAATCAAATTACCTTATTAATTCAGCCATTAATTACAATATTTGAATTCTAATATTAAATACAATATCCGAATATAATTAACTACAACATCCTATTTTTTTTATTCAATAACCACCATTAATTTACTCTACTAAAAATATTATTTAATTACTTTATTTATATTAACCCATTAATTTATGAGTTCAAATATTTTAAATATTTACATGAGGTCCGAATCTCTAAAAATCAATCATAAAAATTAATAATTGAATTAGTCCACTAATTATATAATTAAGTTATTTATTAAGTCTACATGTAGTCAATTATTTATGCTAGCTAACCTAACCTTATTTTATTTTCCTTATTTTATTCCAACATCATTTTTTTTGTCCGGAATATTATTTTTCAATCTCAGTGATTTATTTATTTCACCATTAATATTAATATTTTCTTATTTAATTACTTAACTAGTTTTATATGGCCCAATTAAATTAAATAGACTAAGAATCGACTTTATAAATTAATAACCGTCTATAACTATATTTTGGGTCTATATTTGACCTAGGTTGTCCAGATATCTATTTTATAATTATTTTCCATAATTATTCCTTTAATTTCATATATGTATTAACCGGTTCAATTACAATTAAATATACTAAATCTTAATATTTATTAATTATAAATGGTCCATAAGGTCCTAGTTAGTCATATATTTATCCTAGTTTACTCCAATATTTATTTCATAATTATTTTCGTTATTTAGTTAATTATTTACTAAATGTATATAAATTGGCCCAATTACAATTAAATCAATTAAAAATAGCTAAAAATATTATTTTTCAATTCTGGTTGGTCCGAATATGTATATTTATACTAGGTATTTAATTTATATTTTTCCAGATTTTATTTATTTGATTTACTATTTTATTTTTAATTTTTATTAAAACTGGGCCGAACTGGCCCATTAAACCGACCCGGCCCAAGAGTTCTGACCCAGACAACTGGGTCATCTTCTCCAGTTCGATTCCGGTGACTTCGCCGGAAACTAGAAAACTCCGGCGAGCTATAACTTGACTTACAGATAACGGATTTTGACGATTCAAGTTGCAAAATGATCCTTGCGGCGAGACGAAGCTCCTCCACCCCTATCTACGGCAAAATATCTGCTTTTTATAAAGTCCCGCTTCTTCCACAACTTGCAACTCCGGCGAGCGATATCTCTATCGTTTCACGACCGTTTTCTACGATTCTTTCACCGTTGGATTCGTCTCACGAAGGGGAAGGTTTGAGAAGTACTTTAAGGGCTTGGTTTGGGCTAAAACGAAGGGTCGAAAAAAAACAGAGTATATTTATACGTATGTATATATGCCGCAGAGGTTTTCGTCGGGATGAATAAAATCACAGGTTCTAGGCTATTATTTATAGGGAAAGATGAAGTTTCTAGGCTGCTACGTTAGTTATACCGAAGATCCGATTTTTGTTGGTTGGCTTCACTTGGCTTTTAGAGTTTGAATGATGCACGGACGATACACTCCTGATCTAAATAGAAGTCTTTGTAGGTTTAGTAGTTTTTTTTTGTTTTCAACTTCTTATTCATAGTATACGCATGTTTTGAATGATTTTAGTCAAATACGTAGGTATATTTTACTTATTAGGAGTATATTAGTATAAGAAAAGTCAAGTTTGTATTTTGTGTATTTTATAGGCAAGTTAAAATAGTTATAAAATAACTATTATTACTTATGCCATATGTATAATTGGTGCTTGATATAAAGCGTTACTTCTATTATCGGACCATTTTTATGTGTCTAAAATTTCGCAAATGTTAAATTTTTGGTTTGACTCACTTCATAAATAAAATGTCACTTATTTAATAAAATGTTGTTTCCTATTACTGAAATATTTTTATCTGACTAAAGCGTCGTAAATTTGAAATTTTATCTGATTAGAATGTCACGACTGTTGAATTTTTGTTTCACTCACTTAATAATTCAAAGGTCATTTCTGTAACATTGTATCTGACTAATAAAAATTATTTTTTTTTTATTTAAATTTTTGGAGTGTCACATTCCACCCTCCTTAAAAGAATGCTTCGTCCCCGAAGCATAAGTTAATATCATTATGATAATACTTTTATATATTACATTCTACCCCCTTAAAGAGAGGTTACGTCCTCGTAACTATAATTTTACCTTAATCAAATAACTCTGGGTAGCATTTGCGCATATCTTATTCAGTCTTCAAAGTGACGTTTTCGGTCAAACAATTTGACCATAACACTTTCACCATTTTGACTACTTTACTTCTAATCTCACAACTCTCTTAAGTACTAAGAGCGTAGCAAAGTCTCTATGTCATCTTAAACATATAAGTCCTACCTATACTATACTAAGGTCATACTTAAATTCTATCTCATATAAGCTTCAAGGAAACTATCTAATTTCACATACTTCATATATAAGCAAGCAACTTTATGAACTTCACTACTCAATAATATAGATCCATATCATTAAAATCTCACATCCTCACCACGTTCCTCATAGTTTTTTTCCTAGTCATTTTCATTTCCTAATTTTTTTTATAGAAATATTTTCAAAACTTGTTTAGAAATCTTTTTCGAAAAACATATTCAAAATTCCTCAGAAAAACCATTCTCTCATACCAACTTGTTGGTACCACTTAATTAAGGAAATTTAAGACCTTAAGAAAACATTTAAAAAATTATTTAGAAAACCTTTTGAAAAAAATGCTTTGAAAACTCTCCCAGAAAAACATTCGTCTCTAATACCAACTTGTAACACCCCCAAATTTCCCACCCAAAAATAATACTTTATTCAAAATAAATATCAACTTTATTTGAAAACATCAGAGTTTTGCAGCGGAAATCAAAAGGGAAATAGGGGTGCTACCGCCACACTCGATTCTCTCTTAATCGAGTGCACATGCTAAAATAACTTAAACTTCAAAATCAAAAGTTCACTGATTAAAGTTATTGAAAAAGAAATTTACAATGATTTACCAATAATGTTTTCTAGCGAAAGCTCTCTCTCGAAATAAACTTCAACATCGATCAACTCAACACATGTACAAAAATCATGTACAAAAAGAAAAAATAAAAGAAACACACATTAGCAATAATGCTAAGTAAGTCTCACCTAACCTTTTAAAATAATAATAATAATAGTATATATATAAATTCGTACAATCATTAGTATAATTTTTTTTTCAAAACACTTTATAAACATAAGTAAATGATATCTGTACAAAATCCCAAACACATAACTCGTGAACCATAATAATTCCAAAATACATGAAACACCAAAATTCTCCTCCTTTGAATTTCTCCAAATATCACTTTGTAACTAACTTCCTAGTAATTTAGAAGGGCGGTACTCAACACTCTGGTTGAGCCCGGTGATCCGTTGTTATGTACGGCCACCCCGGAACTATCGCCGGTACCACAACTGCTCCTTGGAAACGGAAACAACTACTTTAAGTGTGCACACCCCCTAAAGGTATTCCAAGCCCTCCGGGTTAGTAAGTCGATCCGGGTAGCCGGGATGTTTTCTACCAACTACCCCACCTCAAAACCTGAATGATTAGGAGCTACTACTACCACTACTACTCAAAAGCCGGGATGTTTTCTACCGACCGACAATTCACCTCAAACCAACACAAACCAAAAATTAAGTAGTAGTAGACCTAACCATCCTCCACATTTTAAGGGACGTGGAAAACCAACACCACAGATTTCTCTCGTGATGCTCACCCTTTATGAAAATATTTATTTCTCTTTGTTTTCTCAAAATCAATCGAAGTTTACACTTCAAAAATTTCCTTTTTCATTAAACTCCCACAAAGATAACAAATTACGTACTATTACAAAATCTTCCAAAATAACTCATATCAACAAACTAATATCTCAAATACAATCCTTTTATATAATGATATTCAAATTCAGCACACATAAATTCAATTCTCAAATAAGCACACAAAAATATTTAAAAGAAATCACGAAGAAAAAGAACTAATTTCGGTTGACGTGAAACTTACCTTAAATCCCGATGCTCCTAATTCTCTTCTTCAGTTCCGGTCTCTAAATATTCACCTTTTTAATTAAGATGATATGATTAGTCACTTATTCTCTTTGTAATTATTTTACCCGATTTTCTCCTTTTATTTTATTATTCGAATTTATTAACTTAATTTATTAGTTATTCGAATTTATTTGATTAATCACTTTTTATTAATCAAATTACCTTATTAATTCAGCCATTAATTACAATATTTGAATTCTAATATTAAATACAATATCCGAATATAATTAACTACAACATCCTATTTTTTTTTATTCAATAACCACCATTAATTTACTCTACTAAAAATATTATTTAATTACTTTATTTATATTAACACATTAATTTATGAGTTCAAATATTTTAAATATTTACATGAGGTCCGAATCTCTAATAATCAATCATAAAAATTAATAATTGAATTAGTCCACTAATTACATAATTAAGTTATTTATTAAGTCTACATGTAGTCAATTATTTATGCTAGCTAACCTAACCTTATTTTATTTTCCTTATTTTATTCCAACATCATTTTTTTTGTCCAGAATATTATTTTTCAATCTCAGTGATTTATTTATTTCACCATTAATATTAATATTTCCTTATTTAATTACTTAACTAGTTTTATATGGTCCAATTAAATTAAATAGACTAAGAATCGACTTTATAAATTAATAACCGTCTGTAACTATATTTTGGGTCTATATTTGACCTAGGTTGTCCAGATATCTATTTTATAATTATTTTCCATAATTATTCCTTTAATTTCATATATGTATTAACCGGTTCAATTACAATTAAATATACTAAATCTTAATATTTATTAATTATAAATGGTCCATAAGGTTCTAGTTAGTCATATATTTATCCTAGTTTACTCCAATATTTATTTCATAATTATTTTTGTTATTTAGTTAATTATTTACTAAATGTGTATAAATTGGCCCAATTACAATTAAATCAATTAAAAATAGCTAAAAATATTATTTTTCAATTCTGGTTGGTCCGAATATGTATATTTATACTAGGTATTTAATTTATATTTTTCCAGATTTTATTTATTTGATTTACTATTTTATTTTTAATTTTTATTAAAACTGGGCCGAACTGGCCCATTAAACCGACCCGGCCCAAGAGTTCTGACCCAGACAACTGGGTCATCTTCTCCATGTCGATTCCGGCGACTTCGCCGGAAACTAGAAAACTCCGGCGAGCTATAACTTGACTTACAGATAACAGATTTCGACGATTCAAGTTGCAAAATGATCCTTGCGGCGAGACGAAGCTCCTCCACCCCTATCTACGGCAAAATATCTGCTTTTTATAAGGACCCGCTTCCACAACTTGCAACTCCGGCGAGCGATATCTCTATCGTTTCACGACCGTTTTCTACGATTCTTTCACCGTTGGATTCGTCTCACGAAGGGGAAGGTTTGAGAAGTATTTTAAGGGCTTGGTTTGGGCTAAAACGAAGGGTCGAAAAAAAAACAGAGTATATTTATACGTATGTATATATGCCGCAGAGGTTTTCGTCGGGATGAATAAAATCACAGGTTCTAGGCTATTATTTATAGGGAAAGATGAGGTTTCTAGGCTGCTACGTTAGTTATACCGAAGATCCGATTTTTGTTGGTTGGCTTCACTTGGCTTTTAGAGTTTGAATGATGCACGGACGATACACTCCTGATCTAATTCATAGTATACGCATGTTTTGAATGGTTTTAGTCAAATACGTAGGTATATTTTACTTATTAGGAGTATATTAGTATAAGAAAAGTCAAGTTTGTATTTTGTGTATTTTATACGCAAGTTAAAATAGTTATAAAATAACTATTATTACTTATGTCATATGTATAATTGGTGCTTGATATAAAACGTTACTTCTATTATCGGGCCATTTTTATGTGTCTAAAATTTCGCAAATGTTAAATTTTTGGTTTGACTCACTTCATAAATAAAATGTCACTTATTTAATAAAATGTTGTTTCCTATTACTGAAATATTTTTATCTGACTAAAGCGTCGTAAATTTAAAATTTTATCTGATTAGAATGTCACGACTGTTGAATTTTTGTTTCACTCACTTAATAATTCAAATGTCATTTCTGTAACATTGTATCTGACTAATAATTTTTTTTTTTTTTTTTTAATTTTTGGAGTGTCACATTGACATCCCTCGACAACAGCAGCAGCAACAGCCTGGGAGAAGGACTCCAGAACGTGTACCCGCTTTGGAGAGGCTAGGGGGCAATCATTCCCCCAGATTCGCCCCCCCCCCCCCCCCCCCCCCAAGCCACCAGCAGATGCCTTCTCCCCCAAGGCAACATCGCGCTTCACTATTGCGCCAACAACAACAACAGTCCCTGCGCCAGCCAAGGCTATCACCGCCAAGGCGGCAGGTTGAATCTCCACCACGGCACCAACGCCAGGTGGATCCGAGGAAAGAACAGATCCGCCTCCTGACTCAACAGGTTAATGAGCTGCGGGCTGCAGTTGTTACAGCGGTACCGCCACCGCCTCCCCAGCACACGGCGCGTGATGCTCAGCTGTGAACGCTGTGCCTCTCGCACAGCAGACGGGAACTTCTCATCCCGCTGCGGCGACACGGAGAATGGCGCCACCGCCACCTCCCACGCTCCTGTCCAGGTACACTGCACGCCGTGTTGATTATGGTTTTTCCAATGATGAGGGTGTCTATGTTATCACCACTGAGGACTCCTCGCAGTCCCCCTCCCTACAACAGGATGACAACCCCAATCCTTGTACAAATAATAACATTATACTAATCAAAATCATGGTTCAAATTTTTTGAAATGTCAAAGTTTTTTGGGACAGAGGTAGTATTTAGAATGTTTTTAATTGGATTGGACTCTTTTGGTTTGATCTATTTAAGTATAGTTTAGTCTGAATTAATTCTAGTCTAGTTTAATATGGTAATTGTTTGAGCTTTGTGTATAGTCTGATCTAATTATAACTATGAAAATCGGGTCTGGTCTAGTCTGACTTATCAGCATGGTCTGGAACCGAAGAAAGTACAAATAAAAACATCCATGCGCAATTCAAGTAAGTTTTAATATTACCCGCACGAGTAGCTCAGTTGGTCGAGTGGTGGGAAAATTGGACCAAGTGACCAAGGTTCGAAACCCACAGCGACCGTGTGGATGTTACAGAACCTGAAATAAGGCTGGACCTCTTGTGCGCACGTGTATAAGGCCTACCGCCGCTTTGCTGATTGAGTCATCATGATTAACCTCCCCACCATCCTGTCAGGTCGGGGTGGGGGGCTCCTGGGTGGAGATTCCACCTTTTGGACCAAGTAAGTTTTAATATGGAGTATATTTTTAAGTAAACCAAAATGTTTGGTTGATTTCCCATAGAAATGTTTGGTTGATCTGATTTATTTAAATCTAATCTAATTTGATCTATTAAACGTCTTGCTTAGTTCAATTTGATATGTTTAAGTGTGATTTAAATTGATTTGTCTGAGTTTCATTTATTCCGAAATTAAATTTATATTAATTCATCTCAAAAAAAATCTTTCTGATTTGACCCGAAACGTTTACTAAGAAAATGAGAATAAAATAGAAATATATATTTATGACTCAGTAAAAAATGTAAATGAAGGTTAACAATACAAACCTTTGAAAGGGAAATTAGAATGATTTTTTGAAATATCTCAAAATGTTAAGTGTAGACCATTTTTGTGACGTGTTACTTTAATTAAAAATATTACAAAATACAAACTATATAAGTTGCTAAACATGTGGTACTTTGTTGACAATGAAAGGAAAAATCGCACTTTTTATCTCTCAAATAGTACTAATATTGCATTGCAATCCATGTGTTCTCATGTTTGTATATGTCACCCCTAAATTGTCCAAATTATTGTAAATGTGGTTCTTTGAAGTATGAAATGTACAATGTAATGAAAAATACCTTTACACCCCTTTACACCATTTCGGATCGTTGGGGGATGGTATTTACACATTTGGAAACACATAGATTGCATTTCAATATTGATACTATTTGAGGGATTAAAAAGTGCAATTTTCTCAGAATGAAATGATTAATATATTATCATTAATGTTGAGGTTTAGTCCCGCAGATCCGAAAGCCCAACACCCGTTCTGGATATTAAGGGCGTGGAAAATAGGTCGAGGATAAAAGAAAATATAGAAGTTGAGTAATATTGTGCTCAAAAGCCCACTTGTATTAAGTAATTCGTTGATTACACAAGAAACTTCCCGAACAGCACGTCAGAACAATGATTAATGCAAGAACAAGAGTGAAAAAGATATTCTAGGCCTTGAGTCTCAAAATGTTAACCCGTTACAATGTAATTAATACCCCTATTTATACTAAAAGGGGTAGGTGGGGGTATGGGGTGCTCCATGCTGATTGGTTGCTAATCCAGCCGCTTGAACGTCCATGCTTCCACTTGCTGACGCCATACTCTAGCATTTAATGCACTTTGCCACTTGTAAGCTGCCCGTTCGGGCAGCAGAATGGCGGTCCTGTCTGGTGTCCCGTCAATCTACATCAAGTATATCGTGTGAGTCGTTCTCCATTCGCGACCCGAGTGAACTCTTATGGACCCTCGTTTCACGTTCAGGTTACATCTCTTCATGGGCCCGTTATCCCCAATACCCTTTAGGCTGGGTATTGGGCCTTCGGCCCAATATCCCAACACGAGCCCCCCACTTCCGATGTCTCGAATGGTAGTGAGTGCATAAGGAAGTAGAACTTTTATGCTGAGTATCGACCGGGAGCTAGATCTCGTTGGTTCCCAATGTCATGAGTTAGTAGCTTATTGGGCCGTCGTTTGATTTTCCACGTAATCGTCATGATTACTGGCCTTTGTTCCTCCCTGTGACACGTGTCTTCTCAAACGCTTCTGGTGACATGTCTCCTTCTGGTTGGTCAATGAATCGGTGATTGCCAGGCTATAAGTAGGCCTTCGGTTCCCCGGTTCTGGGTTTCGAATTTTCAGATCCTTCGTGCGCTTGCTCTGCCTTCTCTCTAGGATTCTTCAAGCTCTGTCCGTTCATGTACACTCTGCCCCTTCCTCTTGCCTTTTTCACTTCGTGTTCGTTCAACATGTATTCTCGATCACATTCTTCTGGCTCGGATTCGAAGTCCGCCTCTCAAAGGGAAATTCATGAAGTCGCTGCACAGGACGCTACAACTGTCCCCTTTGTTGATGTTGCCAGTAATGCGACTGCGGGGGCGGTTGATGAAGATTCTACAGACGACTCTACTTCTTCCGACGAGGACTTTGATGGCATGATGTTCGGTGATGAAATTGCCTCAATGGCGGCTAGTCCCCCAGGCGTTGTCCTTCATTATAGGGTTGATCTAAGATTAATCAGGGAGAGGAGGCAAAAACGGACTTCTCACAATAGGGCTCAAATTCCAGCCCTAATTCCGGACCCAGTAGATTTCCGTCTTTGGGCTGGGCTTCACCCAATGCGCCACCTCCCTGGGATGGTGGTGGTCCATCTAGACTCAGTGAAAGTTGGGCTTAGGTTTCCCTTGCACCTATATTTTGTGTCCTTCAAATTCTATGAGGTAGTGTCGGCCCAAATCATGTCGAACTCATATCGGGTGATGGCCGGCTTCATTTGTCGTTGTGTGGATGCCAAGGTTACGCCTAGTCTGGAAATGTTCCATCAATTTTTTAAGGTGGCCCCTCAGCAAACACATGGGTATTTGGCCGCAACTGCCTGAACGAGACATATATTATTTAAAAGCATCCTAACTTGAATCAAGGGGTGCAAAGACCGGTTTTTCATCGTTTCCATCCCGAAAAGTTTGATCCCGAACAGGTGGAATGCCTTCCCTCGTAAATCTCCAGACCCGCTTCTTACCGAGGAGATCTGCAAGGATGTTTTTGCGGTGGAGGACAAAACCTGCAACATCATGGAGTACCTGACTCCTGATCAGTTCGTCAAAGCCGAGATAGGTACTGCTCGTATTCATGGGTTTACTTGACTCAAAACCAAGTGCCATGGTCCGGGCGGTCCTTCCCGTGCGATAAACGTTCCCCTTTAGTTTCCCACGTGACAAGACCGCTCGGTACTAACTTTCGCCTTTGTTATTTTTTCAGCTCCCAACCCAGACGCTCCCATGGATGACAATCGTGTGCTTGCTACTGGTGGAGTAGGAAAGACGAAGAAGGCTAAGAAGAATAGCCACCCCAAATCTTCCACTGCTGCTCCTCAGAACACCGATCAGCCCCAGCTTGCTCAGGTCGCTCAGCCCATTCAGCAGGTTTCCCTTGAACATGTCTTTGATGAAGATATGCTGATAGACAACCTGTACGGGTTAGACCCGCTGCATCATATTTCTGATGCATTCCAGGCTGCTCAGGATGTGAGCATGGGGGCCGGTCAGGGTACTGCGTCCGATGTTACTGGACAGATCAGGCAGATCTCTCTGGAAGATCCGGTCCACGAGACCTTAGAGAAGGTCGGCTCCTCTACGAGCCAGATCTGTACGACTTTTGCCTTTTTCAACAATTTTCCCTTGCCTAATCTCTCGATTGATCGGGCAGAGGAATGTGTTGCCTT